GACTGGAAGGTACCTTAAAGATCATCTAGTTCCAACACCCTGCCATAGGCAGGAACACCTTCCACTAGACCAGGTTGCTCAGAGCCCCATCCAGCCTGGCCTTGAACACTTCCAGGGATGAGACATCCACAGCATCTCTGGGCAAAATGTTTCAGTGCCTTACCACCCTCACAATAAAGACAGTATCTAATCTAAACCTACTCTCTTTTAGTTTGATTCCATTCCCTTGTGTTCTGCCTTATAAATGCTCTTATAAATAGTCTCTGTCCACCTTTCTTGCAGGCTCCCTTCAGGAACTGGAAGGCTGCAATTAGGTCACCCTGAAGCCTTCTCTTCTTCAGGCTGAACAATCCCAGTTCTCTCAGCCTTTCCTCATAGGAAAAGTGCTCCATCCCTCTAATCATTTTGGTGGCCTTCCTCTGGACTCACTCCAATGGGTTGATATCTTTCCTCTGCTGGTGTCCCCAGAGCACAGTACAGTGCAGTACTCCAGGTGGTGTCTCACCAGAGCAGAGTAGAGGGGCAGAATCACCTCCCTCTCCCTGCTGGTCATCCTGCTTTTGATGCAGCCCAGGATATGATTGGCTTTCTGGACTGCAAGTGTACATTGCTGGGTCATGGAAACTAGACCTTTATCTGTGATGCACAAGATGGCTGATCTGAAAGGTGGTTTCAGAACATGTTTAACACGTCACATCCTCAGACGTAACTCTCTTCAAACCAAGTAATGAGAGAAAGATGAGAACTTCTCTTACAACAGCAGGTGGTCAAAGCCCATCTTTACTTTATCACTGCCCTAGGAGGCAGGAGACCTCAACTGAGAGGGAGGTAGACTCACACATACCACATCTCACCTCTAGTTTACACCTCCCAGTTTGTGTGGATTTGGCTCTTTTCAGACAAATGAGGGGATGTTATCTTGCCTTCTTGCCCCTTGGGGAAATAGCTCTAGCCAATGCCTCCAGGACATCTGCTAATTTTTTTTTAAGGAAAACATCTTCTGACCCATGAACATTACCACTCCGGAGGGGTGAAAGTACCACCTACTGCTCCACAAGCACACTCCTAGGCTAGGCTATTCTTTTCGTTAGCATAGGTCACGTGCTTCAGCATGGTGGCCTGGAAGCCCCTGTCAGAGGTGTGGGACTTCCTGTGCACACAGGTGTCTAATGCAGGGCTCCAGGTCCTGGATTGCTCATCTCAGCATTGTGTGTTGCAACCTTTGACTTTTAGACACACTAGTACCTTTTCAGGTCTAGCCTGAGGGAACGTTTCTCAGTGTACTGTGAGGCTTTGAATACAAACCACAGCCATGGTGACTCCTCACAGACACAAGAACTTTGTTAAATCAGCACTAAGTTTTGTCACAGGTCTTGTCATACTGCTGTGCCTGGGCTGAAACAGTTTGCTATTCAGTACTGTGGCCCTCACATTTACTGAACAATTATTTGGGCCAAGAAAAGCAAAATGCCATGGAAACTGAAGTGGGATATTATGTTTTCCCACAGGGCAAGAGTCATTGGCTTTCTCTGTGCGAAATATGCCATCGGCTGTTGAATAAAAACAGGCTGAAAGGCTCATTGGGACAGCATGGGGACAGGCTCTAATCTGCTTTTGATAGCATGGATATTCCACACAGACTTCAGGATTACCCCCTGTGTGAAGATTGAGTCACCTGTGATTCGTGTAGCAAAATATCTTCTCTGGGACACCAGCTTTTCCCTTTGAGCCCATTTCTGTGCCACTCCCAGCAGCTGACCTGCTTCAGAAAGATATTCAACTCCACTTATCTTCTCTGAGAGGAGATAACATCCTCTATGAGTCACAACTACAGCACAAGGTCTTTTCCAGTTGGAGAGGTTCAGTGGCTTGGCTGGAAGACGGAACTTCCCTCTGCAAAACTACCTCATACTACTATCACTTTCTGGTTTGTACATCTGTCATCATCAGCATGAGAGCATAATAATGCCCCAGACACCATTTCCAGCAAAGGACAGTATCAACCCCTGCCAGGACTCTTTTTTTAGCCACTGCAGATTTACAGAACGGCCTTTTAATAGTTTTTTATTGCTAATTCCACTTTCTATTGCTCTGATTACCTACTTAGACCACCTCTTTAGTCTTCTCTGGGTATGAGATGAGCATCATGTTTGAAATCTGAAGCAACAGCAGGCTCTATGTCCTGCCTCTGCAAACAGCAGGCAGCAGGCAAGACTGAGGAAGGAAGGTGCTCAGCATGAGAGACAAGACAAGATAGAAGAAGGAGGATTAAAGAGTAGCCTTAGAGCTAACACAGCTTTTCTAGCTGGAATAGCATGGCATGCTCAGTGGCAGAAGTACTCGGAAGCTACTATTTCTTGGGTGCCATTTAATGTCCAAAAAAATAGCAGGAACTGAGGGTATTGAGCACACTGGAAATATTTGATTTTTTGAGATTAAAAGTCAACTAAATACATCTTTCTTTGCACGAAAAGCGAATCCAAGAACCACTCCCAAAGACCCATAGGAGAAATGAGGCTAATCAGGGTAACTTTTAGATGCTGATCATCATCCTTGAAGCTTTCCTAAGAGATTTCCTTGTTCTGCCTCCTTTTTTTCCCTTTAAATATGGGACTGAATTGTATTTCACCATATAAGTGTCAGAAAAGCCTTACATCAGGCCACTTGAAGTATAGCTCTCCCATGATATCAAGACTGTGAATTAAAGTTCGCTTTTGGCAAGCTCACAGTGAGTCTTGGTCCCTATCTGCTAAGTACGTTAGGTTTCCAAATAATTTCACAAGCTGTTCCAGATAAGCACACAGTAAGAAGGTGAGGCAAATAGACTTATGACTTCTGTTTTTTCCCAGCCAAGTTTTTCATCTCAGAAGTTACAGCACAAAATCACTTGGACGTTTCTGTTACTGGTGACTTCTAGACTGTGCTAGCGCGACAACAAATTACTGAAGAAGGACACGGCGGCACTGATACGGCCACAGCACCACAGAAACCAATAATGCCCTCACACATGGGGCATGGCTTTTATGAATGGGGCATTGAAGACACTTGGGTTTTTATTGTTGTTTTCAAAGCTCACAAACTCAGGCTGGGGTACTTGTGGTTGTTAAGTTCCTACAACAGGGTAGTCAGAGGGGGGGAGGTGGGAATCAAGGTGGGAGTCCTTTCTGCATTTGAGTTGATCACAGTTGCTTGTGCTTTTTTTTCAGCCTCTAGCAGAGAGTGCTTAACAGAAAAAGAGACTGCAGCTTGGAAATTTTAGTTCTTTAATTCACTCACTCATGATCACCCCTGAGAGGACAGAGGTTACATTTATATAAGTTTAATATTTATGAGCCATGAAACAAGATGTTTCTGGTGAATAAAAGGTGAACTTCTATGCGCGCATGTAAAACTGAACTCTGTTTGGCCTTGATAGTTTGAAGATAAAGTGTTGAACTTGAACCCAGAGGAGGAATTTGTTCAGACCCTCCTGACCAAAAAGGTGACATATGCTTGCCCAAATGAATTAAATTACCGTCTTTAACCTCTCGGTGCTGCTACTGACATTGACATCACCACTTAGCTGCAAACAGTCCAACCCTTTTGTCAAGAAACTCCAGCTCCTGTCATCAAAGTGTTCATTAGTTTGAAATGAGGAGCTCTGACAGAGTTTGGACTTCTTCATAACCTTGACCTCATTGTGCACTATGAAGCAATTGCATTATTTTAAGTGCTTCCCTCGTCAAGTTGCCTTCCCTGTTGCTCTGATGTTCCTGTTTTCGTATGTGTCCTTCATGTAAGAAGCCAAAGAGTTTCTGTTAACTTAAATACATACTATGATCTCTGCTTTCCTTTCACATCTCCCAGGAAAATTAAAACCAAAGAACAGAAAAACCTGTTCTATCTGGTACACATATCTGTCCCCCATTGCAAGTTGTGCCAACTCCCAGTGAGGGAGATTGCGACTTTTGCTGCTGTTTGTAGGCAGAAGCAGGGTAGCACAGTTCTCCTGCCTGAAATCTCACAGTACTGGTGCAAATGAGGGCTCCAGTAATCCCCTGCAGCCCAGAGGTACCTGCTGGAGGGCTGGCTGGTGCACCTCAGGAGTATATTTCCAGCATGTCTGCACCAAGTTTGCCTTCCCAAGAGGAACCAGTGACAAAATGTAAAATATACATAAGCCTAATCTTACTAAGAATGGCTTCCTGATTGTTGCCTGCTTCTCCTGCCATGCAGCTAATCTTAAAGCTGCCATCCTCTATTCTCTGTTAGCACACACTCAAATAGGTGTGGGTCTCCCACTAACGCATTGTCACCAACTGGCAGTGACTGCCTGTACCACTGCACCCACCTAATGCGGCAATTGAACACAGTATTTGCACTCAGAGCTTCACACCTAATAATACTTCAGCACCTCTTTAACTGCTTTATCCATTTTTACCCATTTGCAAGCCTCAGGCTCCCTACAAGTAGATGGTAAGTGGATCTTGTAAATTAAAAACCTATATGCTGCAGGCTTTTAGCATTAAAAGGCCCCAAAGTTCCCCTAGTTCATACCATCTGCCATTAACATCAACTCCACTGTCAGGAGGTAAATCTGGTGGTAATATTTGCCTATTAAAAATTCTGTCACAGGCTTCATTCACTGGCATTATAACTTTCCAGTGTTAGAGAGCAAGTTCAGAGGATTGCAAATGTCTGAAAGTGTTCTGCCCAAGGAAGATAAATGTCCATTTTAAATCAATGTTTGTTGACAGAGAACTAGAAAGGACTTAAAAGAAAGAAGAAAATAAATCTGTTTGCCCTGGTATAAATGAGTTGCTCTTAATGGGCTTTTCTGATAACACAGAAGAGGCAGTTGTGTCCAACCACAGCCCCAGGGGGTAAGAACAATATTCTCCTCTTGACTTAGATATTGATCTACTGGGTAGCCTGGGGCTTTGTGACATCTACTCCTAGTTCTCTCAGCTGATGGCAGGACCAGGAACGGGAGTAAACCATATGTATTTGAACAGCAAGGACAGTCATCCAAGTGGTCCACCTTTAAAACATAGATGAAAACATTTTTTTTTTTTTCCAGCTTCCTTATGGCTTATGTTCCTCTCTGGGAGACTGTTTTCACTGTAAGTCTTAGCCAAATAAGTTCATGACTGTGAACAAATTGGTGATGCCATTCTCTCTCTGATCTCAATCATGCTTTTGAGAAAAATATAAGAACTTTGAAACCGAAAAACTGAGGTCAGCTTGAATGCATGATATGAAAACATTTTGAGCCTCTGTGCTTTAAATCTTATATTTTCTGACCTGCTCCATGGGAATATTACATATCCTACAGGAATGTTGTAAAGAGTAGCTAGAGTATCACTGGAACAGTCAATCATTTTTACAGGGGATGAAGCTGGGCCATGTTCTGTTAGGGGACTTTGGAGATCTCAATTAGCATGTAGGTACAAAATGCTATTGAAATGTCAGATGTGTGCCAAGACAGGGTGGGCTGATTCAAAGGCACAGGGCAGAAAGCTTCTGGAGTAGCAAAGTTATACTTAGTGCTCTAGGGCATAGAAAAAGCATAGAATAAAATACAGTTCAAATAAATAAGATCATCTTTCTTATGAAAGAGAAAGTGATATTTAGTATTTCTCCCTCAAGGCTTATAACCAGCTGCCACTCAGGCAGAATAGATAACACAATTTTCGGACTAATCCATGAAATCAGGAATTGGAATACAAACCTTTCCAAGTGTTGTTTTTCCTTCTGAGTACCATGGCTTCTCACTGTGGTGGCTCTACTGAATAAGGAGGCTGTTAGCCCTCTTCAATATGTGTTTGCAAATCGCAGAGGAAGAGTCTGCCTAAGATGGAAATGCAGAAGGATAGGTTAGATAGATGGAGATATGCATGCACAAATCACTAAGGATCAGTTTATGAATATGTTCTGGTGTTATTAAAGTCTTCTCAGACGTTAATGACATCCCACACTAAAATCAGGTAGATTTTATCTTTTTTGGTAGGGATCAGATTCACTTACTGAGGAAATTCAGAAGCTTGAAAAACCATTCAGCTCTTTGCTAACTACTGTTTTTTCTCAGTAACTTCACAAATGCACTGGAACTTGGCAGAAGTCTGTAGCTGTGGTAAATGTGCATGCCTCATGCTACTCCCAAGTTGAGTATGGAACCCTCACATCAGACCATTTGTTCCTTCCTGTTCTCACCTGTTCTCCAGTTATCCTACCCTGCTAACTGCTGCAGCCTTCCTGGAATCTGGAGCAAGCCCCATGCCCACCCAGGGTGGGAGTGCGAGTGCTTCAACACTGGGCAGTGGCAGGGATGCGCAGAGGAATCTCTGCATTACTCTGAACTGTGGAGAACTGTTTTCCAGGGTCTTCTGCAGCTTTTAAGGTTTGGGTGGGATCAAGGAGGGGAGATGACAAAGTTTATGCGTTCAGTGGCCAATCTGTTTACATGTGTGGAGAAGCATCACTGCAGGGATGGCTGGCAACACTGTGATGCTCGTTTCATCACTCGTGCATCCGAATTCTAGCTGCAGATTTGTTCACTCTCTGTCACAGGGAAAGACACAAGCACAGAAAAGCAGAAAACAGCTAATTAACTGTCTCAATTTTCCAGGGAACCAAATGGATATGTTTCAGAGAGAATCACAGCCTTCAGGCAGAGACTGTGGGTGAGAGGGGTAAAAAGTGGTGAAGTAAGGTTTTCCGTGAGAAAACTAACTTGTGTAAAGCTGATAATGAGTATTGTCATTGCAGCATTCAGTTGAATCTCTTCCCAACAACAAGCTCTAGAGCAAGGAAGCAGGAGGAAACTGATCCTCCATCTTCTTTCTCAACAGATGTAGCCTGGTTTTCTTCCTCCTTCAAAAGTGGACAATTGATCTGGGCATGGTGGGAGTGAATTCAGTGAATTCTACAACTTTCTGCATCTTTGTCTCTACTCTACAGTAGATTGACTGAGCTTTGGTCATATGGATGATGAGCGGTTTGAGCTTTTTTCTGCAAAGCCTGCATTTGTTTAGGAGCCAGATTACTTTTGCATGGGAAATATAATTTCTTACAGAGTTATCTTTTATCTCACAATCCAAATCAGCCATCACCAATTCAGCAGTCTGAGACCACACACTGAAACTTAGGTGACTAGTCATAGCCTGGGCAGCACGAATATTGAATCAATGAAGTCTGGAGAAAATCTGCTGAGGAATATTTGCTTGGGATTCCCAGCAAGCAGAGACTAAAGATCACCAGAAACTACAAATTACTCAATAAATATAGGTCTATAAACAACTCATGAACAATAAGAGAAGTGAATAACTCATCATTATTTGCAGGGAAACATCTCATATTTATCTTGCAAACTAAGCTAATTAAATCCAGTAATTATGGAGAGATTAGGAGAAATATTTAAGATTAGAATTATACATATAAATTATACTTTACATATAAAATTCCATAACTTGAACTTTTTTTTTATTTCATTTTTATAAAAATTTTGGCCAGGAGTTTTCTATTACTTGCAGCTTTGTATTGGCAGGCAGCAGAGAGTCTCTGCAGCAAACTTCCAAGATATTCCTCAGAATATGTTCCTTTAAATAAGCTAAGAATTTACTTAAAACTGTGAATTACCAAGGCCTGAGTTCTATGGCGGTCTTAAAAAAAAAAAAAAAAAGAAAGAAAAAAGAGAAAGAAAGAGAAAAAGTTAGTAACACTAATAAAGAATTTGATATACACTAGTTTCAGCTGACTTTATGTAATATCCTTTATTATCCTTGAACCTTCAAATTTCAGGGACCCTTCCTTTTCTAAATCTCTAATTGTTGCAGGAATGGAGCCTAGATCAGAGGTGAGAGGATGCTAACTCAGTGAGTTTCTTTTTGCTGTCTTAAGTCAGACCTAAGACATTGCTATAGTATAGTTTGCCTTTCCTATCTGATGTGGGCTTTCTTCATGCTAAAGTTTTCTGGGGCACATTCCTTAGAAACAGAGAGGTTTAGAGACAAAGAGCTCTCTGCTGGGCACATCTGAAACTGCCAGGCCAAGAAATAAAATAACTGGGACTTCTTATTCATGGTTTGCTGACAAGTTTGCTGGAAGTTGTCATTGTTTTTAAACAAAAACTCGCAACTTGTCCCACACCTGGAAGACTGGGTTTCTATTGAGGTCTACATGTTTTGCTTCTTTAAGAAGGATCCCAAATGTAGCCAGCTGATTTTGATAAATTAAAAAATATCAAATTGTAAGCATGAGAAGCTGTCTCTAATAGCTGGTGTTTTAAGTACCTAAAATTACACACCAGAGGGTCCCTTACTCTTGGTAAACTCTTACTCGTTATTCTTCTGATGTGTCCAAATTGCAAGATAAAATTATAAACTCAGTAACTGGCATGTAGAAAGGCCTAAATTTCTTAACTCATTATGCAGGGAAGATTACCTCAGAATGGCATATCATCTCAAAACTGGATTTTTATACAGCTTGAGAATTAAAACTGTATTAGAGTTAAGATTATCTCACATTCGACCAGCACATTGTCACAGAATCTATTTTAAACATTCAGAAGTGTCATTATCACTATTATTATTGCTCATTACCTAGACTAATAAGAGCTCCAAGCTTCTGCCAAGGTTATAGAGCCAGTACAAAAGGAACTTTACGGTTATCATTTGCCTAATACAGTTCAAAACCTTCAAAATATTTCAAAACCATCTTTAAAAGAAGACAGACCATTTTCTTCAAATTCTGCTCAGAGGGGTTTTTGCTTTGTTTAAAAAGAACAAAGAACCATATTTTAGATTTGCAATCAGGCCAAGACTGAAAACAAATGCAGCCGTATAACCTGCTGTGAGACAGAAGGTATACGAAATTATTTTCTGAAGAATGTTGCAACAGAAAACAGTTTTCGAGCAGATGAAGAGGAGCCTTCTCATTAAATGAAAGGACTAGAGCAAAAGTCTGAACCATCAGAGCTTGCCTGACTTTCTTCCCTTTTATACACCTTGACTCAGCTTTAGTCTTGGCAGAACACCTGTATTTGGTGTGGAGTTGTTATCTTCCAGTTGCAAGAAGATTTGGGAAGATGGGCATATGTGTGACAAATTAAAATATGACACACTTCTGTATGTTATAGATGGAGAGACAAATGGACCCAGGATCAATGAGTAAATGTTGCAGGAATGCATCACCCCCGAGCTTCAGACTTGGTTGAGGAGTGACTCTCAAACGGATGTCTATGTCTAAAGAGAAAACAGCCAACAACCAGCTTGGCACTGGCAAAACACAGGCCACCTCCTCAGCCAATGTGACCTACTGGAGGCTGCATCTGCCTGATAATTGCAGTGCAACCATGAGAAATCTCCCTGGGGCCTTCACAATCCTACTCTGAAACCATCAGTTTAGCTAGGGACAAAGGCCTTTCCATGCCTGAGGGGACTGCTTAATAATTCTGTCTGCTTAATTTAAGAGCTCTCTACTATCAGTCTTCTCCTCAAAGTTATCAATGGACCATGATCAAGCCACATCCTAACCTTCTCTTTGATAACTCTTGAAGGATTGTGTCTTTCGTTCATATTGTCCTTTTTGTTTGTTTTTAAAATTGTCTTTTCATTGTCCTTTCAGCATCAAAGACATTAGAACTAGAAACAAATGCCAGGGATGTCTTCAGCAGCCCTGCACAGAAAGGCAAACCTCAGCCTCCATGACAATGGTGAGCATCCTTCTGGGTTTTTACCCAAAGTCATGTTGCTGTCTGCTTGCCATTAGCTTTTGGGGACCTTCCCTTCCCTTGGTCATCTTCCATAACATCTAATACATTTCAAGTGGGAGTGCCTAATGAATGGGAAGTTTTCAAGCTTACCTGATGGCTGAGTATGAGGCAACAAGGCAAATATTAATTGGGACTTTATTCTTCACCATATGAGACAGCAGGGAATAAAGAACAAAGTCATAGTGGGCAAACTGCCTAGAAGAAAAAGATGCTGCTGCTGACTACAGCAAGCCACCTACTGTGCTAACATGCTGGACTTGTATTAGTTTATTTAGGGTTTAGTGTGAATTTCTTCCATACATGAAAATATTTTCAATCATGCAAGAAAGAAGAGGTCAATTTTATTCACTTTTTTTCAGGGCAACAAAGATGCTCACCTAATGTGAATGGAATCCTGCTTGGAAAACAACTGAAGAGCAGAGACTGGGCAGTATAAACGGGGACAGTCACTGTGATCCCTTTGTCAGGGTCTTGAAACACTCAGCTTCCTCTTTCGAGTAGTGATGAAATTTAAACTATGTGTGATAGTTTAACATCTGTGAGTATGGAAAGGTTTGGCAGGGGACATGGATTGCTTCTGGCACACCAAGAAGTACGATATGCATTACACAGAAATATGGTGAGGGAGGCACAAGACTCCTGGAGCAGCATGGTGATAGGGTATACACCAAAAAATCAAGACAGTACACAAGTTAAGTTAAAAGTTGGGGGGGTGTTCTTTTTTTTATAACTTATTTTAATTAAGCACCTTGTTTCCAACTATGCCATCTGTGGTATCATGTTTGGTCTTCATAAGGTACTCTCAAAAGAAGGATAATCATGAATTTAGTAACAAAATAGTACTTTTCATATTTCCTGTAATATGTTTCTAGAGTCTTACCCATATGTTTTCAGAAGATTGTATCATAGATAATCAGTGGGAAGCCAGGAACATGGTAATAAATATGTATGGTAGCAAAGCTGAGAAAGAAAGTAATGTGCTCTCCCCCCAGACCCATTTCCCACACTCCCTCTAAGACAAGTAGGCAGTAACATGTTTTCATTCCAAGTATCTGGTCACTGGAGCAGAGAAAGCAGCTTTCACCGTGGGGAAAATGGGCAAAATAGAGGCATATTAACATGAAACAACAACAAAGAAGAGAATAAACATTTTCCCTCCTTAAAATAATAGTTTTAGGATAGCAGCAGCTTCAAAGGAGAAACAGGTTGTGCGAACTGCTTGACACACTACATTACATTACATTATTCTGAGGACAACACAACAACTGACTCTAAAACCTGCAGAGACCAGTTTGAGAGCTGGTACCACAATGACAGGAAAAAAATCTGCCCTAAATCTGGGAAGCGTTTTTGACAATTATCTGTTCAGAAATACTTCAAGTACAACAAGAATAGTGTCTAAAGCACAGCTTGTAAACTGCCATCATTTATTAAAGTGAGGGCATTTTGAGAGCTGGGAGGTATAAAACTGAGCCTCTGGGAAAAGGAAACGACCAAGAAATGAAAGAGTCAAAGAATGCTGCTGTAAAAGGTAAAACATGTAAAAGAAGTTAAAGATGGAAAAGTCCTGCTAGGTCATGTAAGTCAGTGCCCTTACAAGTGCACGAGAGAGAGAGACAGCAACAAAAGTGCTCTGGGCTCAAACATCATACATTGGCTGAGGTTGCAGTGACAAAATACAGAGAAAATGGGCAGCTACCTCCAGGAAGGGTCTCTGCTGTGACCTCAGGGGAACCAGAAACACAGGACTTGCTTAATCCTGGCACCTGCCTATTACATCTCTCTTGGAAAGAGAGAAGTATCTTGGAAAGACAGTCATAAATATCTGCCCTAAAGCTGTTCCTTTTCCATTGCTGATAAATAAAAGACAGTGAAAAAGTTCACATATGAGAGGACATGAGGTCAGTGAGGGAGAGATGGGACAGAATTTGGTGATGGATTGGATCCTTCTGGCCCAGCTATGTTTCCAATTATTTGTAGGAATAGGTCAGTGACAGCAGTGCAAACCGCTGTGCTCAGAGGTAGCAGAACCCAGAAACAAGCAGCAGTAAATAGAAGAGCAAATAGGAGAGAGGAGAAATGAAAGGACAGGAGAAACCTAGCTGAATTTATGCTAACCCAAGCAGTAGTGGGGAATAAGAATGGCTTTCTCAAATGCCTTGTAGGGGAAAGGGAAGATGGCCAGGAAGTAGTTTCATTAATAAGTGAGGGGAAGATGAAAAAACCAATATTTCTTCCAAGGCCAAATTACCCCTTTACTATTTTTTTCTTGAATAAAATAGAAAAAAAAAGGATGTAGCAATTGGGAAATAACAAAAATCCTAACCGAATAGCCATCACTGTAATGCAGGTTACAGGATCAGTTGAAAATTTTGAATATCCATCATACAGATCAGCTAATCTGGTTGCACTCATCCTTAGGTGATGAGGGAATAGCCAGTTAATTTACAGAACCATTGGCAATTATTTTTGAAAGTCATGGAGAACTATGGAAGTCCCAAAGGCTGGAAATAAAGCAAATATAGTATTGATTTACACAGAAGGAAGAATGATCTTGGCAATTACTGCCCAGCACTTTTATCTTCAATCTCCAGTAAAATAATCGACCAAGCAGTACAAAAAGAGCTGTTAGAAAACTTTGAGAGGGCATTGGAAACATGAGCAACAGGTGACATGGGATAAAGAAAGAATCTGTTCTAGGGGGAGATATTGATGTTTTATACATAGAAGACTAGAATCAAAAGGTAAGGGATAAAAGAAGCCTCCCTTCAGCAGCACTTAAGCACATGCTTAAATCTTTCCAACTCAGTTTTGAGCAACCACTGGATGAAAGCAAACGCTTGTTTGCATTCTTGAAGTTCAGCAACCAGCATAAACAATTTGCTTAATAAAGACCAACAGGAGGAGCTAAAGCAGAAGGGAGACTGATAAGGAGACCTACACAGTACTGCAGCAGGGAGAGTGATGATGTAGCAGAAGCAAAATGTTCACAGGGTTCCATCTAGTTTTGACTTGGAGTAATACCTTCATTAGGGATGCAAAAGATGATGCAAAGTGCACACTCAGGAAAAAAAGAGAAAGGACAAAACCACAGCAATACATACATATCTACAGAACTGAAGTGAGAAGTAACAAAAGGAAATTCATTGTAAAACAACACTTGCACTAACCCCTACTAACACAACCCAAAGCAGCAGCATCCAAGAAGGAGAAATCCAAAATAAACAATGTCAGGCACTTAGGAAGAACAAAACTGGACAACAAATTGTTCACTGCTTGTAAATGAAGGATAAGAAACACCATAAAGTCAATAGATCACAGTGAAGAGGGGTGATGGACTTTCTCACCTGTGCTGTGTTGAGGCAGAGGGGCCGGCACTGAGAACCCTCATTATGTACCAAACAACCTAAACAGAAAATTTGGGAGAGGGTTCGAAGGACAAAAGGCAAAAATTATTAAGGTGTAAAAGTACAGCATTTGAGGAGACACTATGACATTAAAGTTTCATTATACAGCTTGGCTGCATTATGATAAGACTTCAATTGTGCCCTCAACTGCATGTCCTACACGGAGAAAACTGAAAAATGATGTCTGGGGCCTGGTCACATACAATCACTTTTTCTGATGCCTGTAGCTCCATTACTCACACAGAGACAAAGATTATGAGTTTACTCATGTAAACTCATAATCTTTGTCTCTGTGTGAGTAATGGAGCTACTTATGAGTTTACTCATGTAAACTCATACCTCCATGTAAACACATACCTCCATAGAAGATGGAAAGAGCAAGGAGTGAGACTGTTGTGTTTCTTGCAAAAGGAAACATCAAGCTTCAATGCTTAGAGAAAAGGGGGGTGGCACAGACTTAAGCCACGCATTCATGTTTCTAAATCTGAATGACTCCAACATTTATACACATAAGACAGAGCTACCTTTTAGATTGCCTCATGGACAATATAATCTCCACAGCCCTACCTGAGACTGATGCTAACCGCGCGTCAGACATGTCAGGGTTCAGGGTTCAGGCACCTCAAGAATACTAAGCAGAACTTCCGCAATTATTTTCTTACTTTACTTTGTCTTTCTGATGGTAATAGAATTTTTTTCCCCTTAAATTATTTCCTTTATTTCTTACCATCTCTCAGATCATCCCAATTATTTATCATTATTCCTTGCTATTTTTAATGCTTAACATCTGTTTGAAGAATGAATACTTCAGCCTTGAAAAAGAGAGTGCTAGTTTATTGAAGAAAATTATAGGTAGATAATGCTGAGAAAATAGTGTCAGAATAACATAGAAATGAGAGAATATATATGGTTGGAAAAATCTGATGTATTAAATATTATATAACCGCTTGGCCAAAGGTCATGGAGGCGGTCAGCTATCATTTCTAGACACCTGATTTAAATCAGACACAGGCCAGAGTTGATAAAAATCTTAATATCCATTAATGACCTCGTGCTGTCAGCTCAGCTCTGATTATTAGCAGGTAACTGTCCAAAAGAGGTGTGGGCTCACACACATGCATAGAGCAGCAGGCTGCCTGATTGCCAATAACTAAATAGGTCAAGGCAGGTATGAAATATTCTTTTGATGGCTAAGCATCAGCTCCCAATTCAGGACTGAGACACGCCTGAATGATGTGGAGAATGAGCACTCTGGCTGCATTCACTCTCCGGCATTTCCCTTTGGAAGAGGATTTACCAGGGAGACTAGAAAAGACACAAAAGCACCTCCTTTCATCTGCCTGCTGCTGCATGGCCATATCCTGACACAGAGCTGGAAAGCAGATGTGCTTCTTCAGGGTCCCCTGTCCCTATCACAGCTGCCAGCCTCATTCCAGTCTTTCAGTGCTAATATCAATCCCCCAGCTTTTCTAAATATCTAACTGAATCTTTCCACATAATAATTAAAGCCACCATAGAGATGCACAGTTATGGCTGCTGTAGGATTTTGTTTCCAAGATCTCTTTTTCATTTTCTCAGAAATATCTGTCTCTTGAGCCAAAACTTCCCAAGATTGCTCTATGCCTGAGGGAGAATTTTGTTTTGTCTTTTTGAAAGCTTGATCAAATGCCGTACAGCCAGGGGTTTAGAGCAAGGAGGAGAAAGGAAAAGGATGTGGCTTTTTTTATAGCAAAAATAGTTGCGACTTTATTTGAGCTTTCTTTATAGTTTCAACCACAAAGACATCAACTGCAAAAATGTTTGACAGGATGGTAGCTTTTACAGAAGATATTATGAGGTTTTGAAAGTCATATTTAGTGACGCAGGGAATTTTGTGCACACGCTCTCTTCTCTCAGCTCCAGCTCCTCTAATAATACCACTGCCAAACAGCATTCTCTGAGAGGGCTGCTTGCTGTCTCAATCTTTCTGACTTTGCTTTTTTTAATTTTGAAATGCTTCATTTTAGATTCAGAAAGCTTTTGTGAGTTAAAGCAATGCTCGTACAACGTATCTGCGTTCAAAACAAAGGAGTGAGAATGGGAAGAAATCCAAAAACACCATCTCACAAAATATATTCAAATCCTCC